TCTTCCGACTTTTCAAGGCAAAATGAAATCGAAATGTTTTTGTTGTTATAGTTACATTAAAATTAAAAATTAAAAGATAGACGCTTGTGTCTAAACACATTTTTTATATATTAATATTACCTTTATAGTAAGGATTATTATTTTTTTTTTTCCATGTCGATTTCAGATGAATTCTGTGGACACGACAGATTGGTATCAAATGACAATTGGAAAAATCATACATTGTCATTTGATACCAATCTGTCATGTCCACAGAATTCATCTGGGAATTTAAGTATATTGTCGACATGGAAAAAAAAAAATAATAATCACTTACTATAAAGGTAATTTACATTAACCAGAAAAAGACCTCAGACACAAGTTGTCTATCTTTTTAATTTTGAATTCTAATGTAACTATAATAGCAAAAAACATTTCGATTTCATTTTTGCCTTGAAAAGTCGGAAGACGAAACGCGTCGGCAAATGTATGGTTTTTCCAATTGTCATTTGATACCAATCATCTTGATACAGAATTCATCTGGGAATTTAATATATATATATATATATATATATATATATATATATATATATATATATATATATATATATATATATATATATATATATATATATATATATATATATATATATATATATATATTCTGTTTATAGGTTTTATGGATGCATTATTTTTTTAATTGTATCTACCGGCCTGAATGTTCGAGAAATTTGGTAGAAAATATTCGCCCTCCGACCGGACTCGATACTGTATACTATATGGAAACCTCATATAACCTGACGTGTTATAACCGTTCAGTCGTATAAAACCTCCGGTTTAGCTAAATAATGGCTCCGTCATAATCTTTGTGTTATTATCAAGAGAAAAGACCAAGGCAATCTTTAAGCAGAAGTTATTGTTTAAATCCCTTTGAGAACCGTCTAAGTTTAGGTAAAAATATTCTGTTTTTTCTAGCGTCAACGTGGGACCATAAATTTGCATGTTAAATTGAATCGTCTTTTTATGCAGAAAAAACATTAAATTGGAAATTCTTCAAACAAATAATTGCTGGATTTTAATTAAAATTTCAGGACATATTTCAGCATGAAAGTGTTTTCGATTTTTTTTTCTTTGATAATGAATCTTGGTAAATATATATATATATATAATTTTGCAACTGTTACATCCCACTTATTTCATTTTATGAAATTTCGAGACATACATTTTTTAGCTCTTACTGTTTTCATTAACCCTTGTGCAAATTCATTGAAACAAAACGAATAATTACATTATTATTTACTTTGTTTTCGTATTTTTCCAATGAAACATGGCCCAGTGCACATTTTAGTACTTCGTATGTCCATTCCTCGAAGTTTTTCTATGCAGATTCTCGGTTAGATTTAAATCAGGAAAGTTTCCGAGCCAGTCGATAGTCCTTTGATTTACTCACTGGAAAGGCTTGCCATTGTGTTTTTGCAGCGTTACAATTTACGTACGCTTCCTTGGAGTAACGTTCATCGCAGACAATGACCGTAGGAAAACTAATCGACAGTCGAGACAATAGTGTCTGGCCGTGATGAAAATCTGATACAATCCCGGCTGACGCAATATTTTTCAAGTTCAAACAAATTTCATCCTAGACCCTGAAAATGGATTCATATTACTGCACACCATTGCAAATGACCTAATCTGAGGAAAAAAATAGAAATCTATTACACTCTGTCACACCAGTGGGTCTAAAACCGACCGTATGATGAAAGATAGGAAACTTATTTCAATAAGAATAATTTATCAAGTTTTAAATATTTTCAAATTCTGTATTAATTTGTATTGGTCAAGTGATATTATATTGTTGTTAAATAAAAACTTATTTACCAGTCATAAATGAAAAAGCTTACTACAGTGACTCCAGTATTTGAAAAAAAAATTGGAATTTTTATTTGTGTGTGTATAAACATATCTATTTTTGTAAATACTGACGTCCATACATGGCGTTATCAGAAATTAAGAGCTGCACATATAGTAAAATTAATATTTATTGGTAATTTTATAACATTTCATCAAAAACGTATTCGTAAGTCTTACTATAAAACAATGTAACTAAAATTCAAAAACATTTCAGAACGCTTAAAATATTCTAAATTTTAACGTTTACTGGGTAGTTGAAAATGATATAAAAAAAGGATTTACGTTGTATTCGTCTTGTTACTTTATGTACATTGTTTCCTTCTTAGATAAATTTCCCAAACATCAAGCTGTAGATAAAGGTGTCAACACCCCATAAAACCACATGAGTGCTTTGTGTTTGAGCTGTCGTTTTTCTTATTATTTTTCTTTATTTATTATTTCAGTTTCTTCATTGTCCTTTTTTTTCGGCTCAGCCTGCAACATTTCCTTGGAATACAGACTTTTTAGGTGTGTTTGAAATTTGGGCCAATCATTTTGTCACAAGTGTTCGAGCTTCTCAATGAGGACTCTGTATTTGTCAGGATGACAGGCATTATTTGTGGTTTTATTTTCTGTTATTTTTGCAGAGGAAGAGCTTTTCATGTAACTTTCTTCTACTTGCCTTGCTTCCTAAAAATGTGGTTTTTCTTTTATATTTTACTTCAACAATTTTCTTGTCACTTTTCGAGAAATCGAATGTTCTTGAGTATACGGCATGGCTCTCCTGGCAGTTAGCATATCTTATTTCATCGTGGAATTCTTCTTCAGAACGGTCTGAATCCCTTTGTCCACATTTTCCACATGTTGGGCAACTCCTGCGGCTATCCCTATGATAACCAAAATTTTAGCACCTAAAGCATCTTAGGGAAGGAGGGACATATAGCTTCACTGGTTCAATATTATACCCTATTTTGATTTCGGTGGGAGGATTTCAGATGCGCCAAAAATAATATATCTGTCAGTTATAACTGTTTGCCCTTTTCTTTTAATTGAGAATCTATAGTAAGCACTGACCACTTAGATTCCTAAGTTTGATGCATTTTCCTTATGTTTGAGAGACAACTGTTAACTTCTAATGACAGTTTTAATTTTGATATTATGAAAATTCTTCATCTTTATTTTATTTTCAACGTATTTTCTATATTCCAACTCAACCAGCGCATTGCCATCTCCCAAATTTCTAAATGTTTTAGGATTAATATTACTGGAGAGTACTTTTTCAATCAAGAAAGGGGAACATTTCGCCGGCGGAGTTTCTTCGAGTACAAAAAAATTCTTGGAAATTCCATATTAATTTCTTTTTTCTGAAAGATATCTCTTGAGCTTTTTATTTGGATTATTCAAAATTTTTGTGTATTAAGATTTACTGCTTGTATTCCCGACACCAAGCAGTGGCTAACATTGGGACGTTTCAAGGTCAAGGCTGTACAAATCAATATACTCGTATTCGAGAGGGAGACTGAACATTCGTAAACGATTTGTTGCCTTTCCCAAATAAGTGAACAAACTGGAGTGCTCACAACCATGTCTAAGTCTAGATTTCTTCGTGTCCTCATCCATCGCCTTCTAACGCTTATAAATTGGATACAGATGGTACTTTACCCCGGTGTATATTTCAGATATTGTCTTTAGTTATAAAGTACTCCATAAATTGATAGAATTATAGGCGCTAGGGCTTTTTTATGACTAACTAATTGATCGTATCGGATCTCTCCGACTGCTCGTCTAGTTCAAGTAAAGGCCAAAGTGCTGTGAGAATCAAAACCCTGCCTGAAGCCCTCAACCACCAGGAACCCGTTCACTGACATTACGTGTTGCCACTCACGGTAAACAGCTGGCTTCATTGGGTGGCTGGTGGTGGTCTTACTCCTCTACAGAGGTGCAGTCGGCATATTTGAAGCCCCAGCCGACAGGAGGGAAAAGTAGTTGTGTTGTACTTTTAATAAAAGAAAATTATTGGTCATGGTTAAAAAAAGTGAGACATGATTTTTTTTTATTATAACAAAAAATTGTATCATTAAATTGTTCTCCAGTAAAAATATCCTCCTTTAACCTTGACTATTGCAACGTAGGTTTTTGCCATTCGTTGCAAAAGTTTTCCCGATATATATGTTTGATAATTGATTCCATTCTATTTTTTTCTGACTCTATAAGCTCTTTTGCATTATTTTGTCACTCATCGGTGAAGTTTATTCCATGCTAATTCGAGGGATGGCTTACAATTTTTTAACTCTGGTGTATATATATATATATATATATATATATATATATATATATATATATATATATATATATATGTGTGTGTGTGCATATATATATATATAAAATATTTGTATGTATACATGTATGTATATATGTATGTATGTGTTCATATTTTGTATGAATATACGTATGTATGTGTATATACGCATATATACACATGTATATATGTCATATATATATATATGTATATCTGTATATATATATATATATATATATATATATATATATATATATATATATATATATATATATTGGTACGTATGTATCGATTATTCTAAAATAAGGAAAGTCCAGTAGTGAAAATCGTAAAACAACGAAAAATTTTGGAATCATTGAAAAGAATAACAAGTCGAAAGTTGAAAATAAAAGTGACTAAGAAAAATGTGGGTCTGGGCAAAATCGTCAAGTTTCCATTATATTAAAAATAAAATGTTAAAATATAAAGGAATAAAGGTAAAATGGAATAAAGAAACAGAAGAATACAGGAATCAAGGAATAAAGGAATAACCAATGAAGTAACAAATATAGGCAGATAAGAAGTCAAGTTAAGAATAGAAAATCACCGACTGAAAAAGACACGTTTGTGGAATCAGCGCATTACTTGGCGACTGGAGATTACCAGGTTTCTCCACCGTACAATCTTGGTTCTTATATTATTGGGATGTTCATTGGTTCCTTATTTTGAAAATGAACGACCAAAGATTTTTTTTTTTTTCCCGCCTTTCTTAGACGTCCGTGTTGGTATTAAAGCAGAAGAGTGGAAAAAAAGATAAAAAAAGAAAAGGTTTAGCGGGGATAAATGCTAAATGCCACTAGAGGTTTAGGTGTTTAAAAGAACAGAAAAAAATAAGCGAAAATGATAAGTATGAAGGAAATAAAAGGACGGCAAAAAATGAGAGGAAAAAGACCGAATAAAAAGGACAATAAATGTAAAGAGAGAGAGAGAGATGAAATATTGGTAAACGAGAATAGAAAGAGAAAAAGAAAAAATAAAAATAAATAGAAAGAAACAACAAAGAAAAACAAAGAAAAACAGAATGAGAGAAAAATAGAAAAACCCAAAGAAAAATAGAAAGAAAGAAAAAGAAAAACAGAAGGAAAAATAGAAATAAAGAATAAGAAAAGAGAAAGTAAAATAGAAAGAGAGAAAACAGAAAAATAGAAAGAGAGAAAAAGAATAACGGAAAGGAAAATAGAAGAACGAATAAGAAAAAAAAAGAAAGTAAAATAGAAAATGAGAAAAAGGAAAACAGAAAGACAAATAGAAAGAAAGAAAAACAAAAGGAAAAAAGAAAAATAGAAATAGAGAAAGAAATAACGAAACAAACTAAACTAATCGAGAAATAAAATGAAAAAATAAGAAAGAAATAGATAAATGTAAAGTGAAATAACACTAATGGAAAGAAAGAAAGAAAGAAAGAAAGAAAGAAAGAAAGAAAGAAAAGAGAAGACAACAGCTATTAATGAAAAATTACAAAAAAAGTAGAAAGAACTGAAGAAGAAATTCTTATCCGAAAGAAGAAAGAGAGAGAGTTAAGAAGAAAGGAAGAAACAAACTAACAAATGAAGAAAGAAATATAAAAAATGGAACGAAAAAAGAAAACTAAGAACGAAAATCAATGTAAAATTCAAAGACCAGAAGGAGAAGCAATGAACAGGGAACGTTTATCGAAAAGATCAAAGAGAAAGAAAAAAAAAAACGTGTAGGAAGAATGTTTTACGAAAGAAAGAAAGAAAGAAAGAAAGAAAGAAAGAAAGAAAGAAAGAAAGAAAAGACAAGACAAAAGCTATTAATGAAAAATTACAATTTGAAAAGATCAAAAAGAAAAAAGAAAAACGTGTAGGAAGGAAGAATGTGTTACGAAAGAAAGAAAGAAAGAAAGAACGAAAATGAAAGAACGAAAATGAATGTAGATTTCAGAGATCAGATGACAATTGAAGAGTGAAGGTTTATAAGAAAGAAAGAAAGAAAGAAAGAAAGAATGAAAGAAAGAAAGAAAAAAAAGAAAAAAAAGAAAAAAAGAAAGAAAAAAGAATTGAAAAAATCAAAAAAAAAAGAAGAAGGGAACATTGGCAGATATAAAAGCGGAAGAGGAAAGAAATGTTTTATCCTAAAGAAAAAGAAAGAAAAACAAATGGATGAAAGAAAGAAAGAAAAATTCCTTTAGGGAAAAGAAAGTGAAAATAAAAAGAGATATAAAGGAAACAAAATGTTTGAAAATTTGGAAGGAAGAACAAGTAAATAAAAGAATGAATAAAAAAAAAGAATCTGAATGAAAGAAAAAAAACGAAAAAATTACTGATCTGAACATTGGCAGAGACTAAGCAATAAAAAGCATGTAAATTATGGGAGAGGAGAAACAAACATGAAAAATAAAAGATACGAAAATAAAACTACAGTCATGAATGTGTTGGTCACAAAACCGATATACGCATGCGTAACCCCGCGTCAATTCATACGCAGGCATATTTCAATGTAGTCGGACATAAAGATAGTTGTACAGAAGTATGCGTTTAAAGGAGTTTCTTTTTTATTTATAATTCCTTTAGGGATATATTTATTTACTTATCTATTTCTAAAATAGATGTTTCTGGTCAGCAGTATCCACAAACTAAACAATATTACTAAAGAACAATAAAAGCGAGAAGACAAAATCAAAAAGAAAATTTGAAAAATTTGGAACTGCAGAAACATAAATAAAAGAATGAATAGAAAAAAAAAAAGAATGACGTATATTAATGAAAAGAAAAAAAAACGAAAAATTAAAAAATAGGAATTTATTTCACGAAAAAACTTGCAATAAAATATCTCATTTAGATGGCACTGAAAAAATTAGTATTCATCCTATGCAAAAAACATTGATGGTTTTAAGATAAAAATAAATATCTCAAAATAAGCATGTGAGATCAATTTGTTTCTTTCTTAAAAGGAACTTTTATACTTATTATTATCCAACCAACACACACACGAAAATACATATATATATATATATATATATATATATATATATATATATATATATATATATATATATATATATATATATATATATTCTAAACTGTAATCCCATATAATGAATACATGTTTATTAATATCTAAATTACGTAACGGTCAGTTTATCCTCAGTTAAACTATTCTATTGGCGTAATATATATAGGATATTTCTATTTTATTACATCGATCACAGTTTTATCAATACGAGCACACTATGTGCATTATGACATATATATATATATTGGTAGTTGGTAAAATAATCTGAACCACGTAAAATACTAAATTGGTCCACACAAAGAGATCAATGCATTTATTACAGAGAAAATAATTAGTAAACAATACAATCCAAGGTAATATTATGGGTTTTTTATTTGTTATATATATATATATATATATATATATATATATATATATATATATATATATATATATATATATATATTACGGTGAAGACTTTTCCTAAAATAATTGATTTCCTGTATCATAATTCGATGAACATTTGTGAAAAAATTCACGAAGAATATTTTGTATGTTTTGTATATAAGTATATTATTTCTGGAAACTTCTAGAACTTCCTGGAAACTTCTAGAACTTTATGGAACCTTCCAGAATTTGTTTGCTTATTTGTAATTTTACATGTTAGGCTATAGTTAACTGTTAAATGCTATAAAAATACTTAAGTGCTATCTAATTACACCATTAGCAAGTAGAAAATAAAGTGTATGCCTGTTCTCAATTTTTGTTTATTTGTAAGGCTGTATGTCATATAAGTATATAAGTTATTTGTAAGGCTGTATGTCATATAAGTATATAAGTTATTTGTAAGGCTGTATGTCATATAAGTATATAAGTTATTTGTAAGGCTGTATGTCATATAAGTATAAACTGTTAAATGATTTAAAATGCATAATTTCTATCCAATTATTTCATTAGGAAATTTAAAAAATAAATCTTCTGAAACATTTATAAAACAAATCCTACAATGGGAAAGGCGATAAATGTAATTTATGTCTTGTTGAAAATTAGTTATCTTAAAACACTTAAATTACACTAGCTTATTAAACAAGAGAAATGAATTGATGGTTACATGTTGACCTAAAATAAATATCTGCGTAAATACATTCATCAGATTAATTTTTAATCTAAATTATGGTCTTTGTTTCTTTCTTAAAAGTAATCTCCTTTATATAATAAAAAATTAATATTTACAGATCTATTTGTATATATATATATATATATATATATATATATATATATATATATATATATATATATATATTCTAAACTGTAATCCCAGTATTTAACTGCCCGACATTGCGGTAACAGATAATTTTATTAATATCTAAATTACGTAACGGTCAGTTTATCCTCATAAGTTATTTGTGCATTGAAACTCCAGAGCCGTTCTATTGGCGAGGAATTCTATGATATACTTATAGCTCTATTTTATTAAATCACAGTTTTATCAATACAGGCACTATATGTGCATTATGATATATATAAAAAATAATCTGAGTGGAACCTAGTAATATAAAATACTAAAATTGGTCCCACACAAAAGATCAATGCATTTATTAAAAAATAATTAAAACAATAAATCCAAGGTTGATTAAATATATATATATATATATATATATATATATATATATATATATATATATATATATATTACACGGTGATAATTGATTTCCTGTATCATAATTCGATGAACATTTGTGAAAAAATTCACGAAGAATATTTTGTATGTTTTGTATAAAATATTATTTCTGGAAACTTTAGAACTTCCTGGAAACTTCTAGAACTTTATGGAACCTTCCATTTGTTTGTTTATTTGTAATTTTACATGTTAGGCTATAGTTAACTGTTAAATGCTATAAAAATAAAAAGTAATCTAATTACACCATTAGCAAGTAGAAAATAAAATGTATGCCTGTTCTCAATTTTGTTTATTTGTAAGGCTGTATGTCATATAAATATAAGTTATTTATGTATGTCATATAAGTATAAAGTTATTTGTAAGGCTGTATGTCATATAAGTATATAAGTTATTTGTAAGGCTGTATGTCATATAAGTATAAACTGTTAAATGATTTAAAATGCATAATTTCTATCCAATTATTTCATTAGGAAATTTAAAAAATAAATCTTCTGAAACATTTGTGACAATTAAAAAATAGTGATAATACACCTATTATCACGAGGCAAGAACCAAATCCTACAATGGGAAAGGCGATAAATGTAATTTATGTCTTGTTGAAAAATTAGTTATCTTAAAACACTTAAATTACACTAGCTTATTAAACAAGAGAAATGAATTGATGGTTACATGTTGACCTAAAAATAAATATCTGCGTAAATACATTCATCCAGATTAATTTTTAATCTAAATTATGTTGTCTTTGTTTCTTTCTTAAAAGAACCAGTAATCTCCCTTTATACTTATTATAAAATTAATATTTACAGATCTAGAATATTTTAACACACACACACACGCACAAACACACACACACACACACACACATATATATATATATATATATATATATATATATATATATATATATATATATATCCTTCTTATTCTAAACTGTAATCCCAGTATAATAGATAACTGCGCCGACATTGCGGTAACCAGATAATTTTATTAATATCTAAATTACGTAACGGTCAGTTTATCCTCAGCACCTGAAGTTAGCTTTGTGCGTGAAACTCCGAGCCGTTCTATTGGCGAGGAATAATATGTATTTTTATTAAGATATACTTAATAGCTCTATTTTATTACATCGATCACAGTTTTATCAATACGAGCACTATATGTGCATTATGACATATATATATATATTGGTAGTTGGTATTTAAATAATCTGAGTGGAACCTAGTAATATAAAATACTAAAATTGGTCCACACAAAGAGATCAATGCATTTATTACAGAGAAAATAATTAGTAAACAATACAATCCAAGGTAAGGTGATTATAGGTTTTATTGTTTATTATATATATATATATATATATATATATATATATATATATATATGTGTGTGTATATATATATATATATATATATATATATATATATATATATATATATATATATATATATATATACTATATTATAAAATTTGAGATGTAGTAGAGTGGAGGGCGTATCATAGATTGTGAGAGAGGTCGTATCATAGATTTGGAAGGGCCACAAGGCACTAGCACTGGTCCTCTGCGTGTGCGTGTGTGCGCGTACTTGCGTGTGTGTGTATATGTGCAAGAACTCCAAAGGAAGTCTAAATGTGTCAAATGCAAAATTTAAACTCTTTTCGGGTATTTTAATATCTAATTGCAAACCAGAGTTGCTAGACTTGAATCCATACATTTTTTTTTTAATTTAGAAATCAGGTTTTGTTTTAATCTTCCTCTCAAGTACTCGTGCTAGGTAAGACATTAAACTACATCTGCGTCCTGGGTAAGATGATAAACCACGTCCAGCAGTAAGGCTTCTGATCAGAGGTTTTGAGGAGCGTGGAACAACCTCTTAATTGCTGGTGTTCCCAGGTCCCGGGATAGTAGAATGTGTTAGGATTCTAGCTACGGGCAAAGAGTGAAGTATCACCAGCAATATAATTTTGAAGGAATAATATTACCAAAAACAGCTTTTTGATAAAACAAAATATTACCAGCAATAAAAAATGTTGTCGTGCCCCTAAATGCTATTGAGCAGCCCCGAATATTTTTGAAACCCCCCCATTCCCGACCTAATGATTCCCAGCTCAATTTTGATTAAAGTTATTTGTACTTGAGAGGATTGGTTAGGTTTATTTTGATTTACGGCATATCAACCTCAATGGGTTATTTAATGCCGACAACATTTTTAGGATAGATTCGTATGAATAGAATATGTATTCTTTGGTTTATTTTGATTTGGTTTATTTTGATTTACGGCATACCAACATCAGTAGGACATTTAATGCCGACAACTTTTTTTCCTGGTAATATTTTTTGTCAAAAATTATTTCTGTTAATATTTTTACCTAAAAATTGTATCGCTGGTAATATTATTTTCAAAAACGTATTGCTGGTAATAGT